CCCCTCTTTATCTTCAGAAATATATCCTTAAGGTCTCTTTTGTCTGATATGTAGTTACGTCAGCTTTCTCTTGTATGACTCTTGTGAAAGCAGCATATGTAGTTTTTTTCATACTTAGTCTTTTAATCGGATTCAGTTTTTTTACATTTAATGTAACTACTTAGATAGTTGAGATTTTCTACCATCTATTACCTTCTTTCTGAACCATGTGTTTTGTATTCCTGTTTTTTCACCTTTATTTTTTTCCTTGTTTCAGTATGTTCCAAGTCTCAGAAAAATTCAGAGTGTAATATGGAGTGGAAAATATAATTAAGCATTTACAGTGCATTTTGGTGAATTCTGTGTACTAGCAAGCTTTGAGAAGTATTTGTGCCTTACCTGAGTTTAGAGATTTTCTCCTAGAAGAGATAACTCATGTTGGAATTTTAAAGGAAGTTAGAAGTTTGAGGTGAAGGAAAGAAGGGTGAATTTGTCAGGTAGATTACTAGATAACTTTAGAAGTATCAAGGGAATTTAGATGTCCTAAGGAGCTTGACCTTCATTTTCTAAGCATTGTGGACCATTTTGAAGATTGCCAGTCATCATGTTCATATTTGTATTTTAGAAAGTTTATTCAGGTGGCAGTATTAAGAGTGAAATTTTTTAGGAGGCAGAAAGGTGTTTAAACTGGCATAAGAGACCAGTGAGGCTATTAAAATACTGCCAATAGATTGACAAGGTCTTAGATTCAGGTTTTGGAAGTGGGGATGGAAAAACAGGAGCAGATTTAAGAATTATTGAGGAAGAAAATTTTATGTAGGGGATGGAGAGGAGAGAGGAGGGTTCAAGGATGACTCTCTGAAATTTGTCTGAGTGGGTAGAAGACAAAATGAATCGGTATCATTAGATACCAGTTAGCAGTTTTATTTAGCTGTGCCTTGGTGTAGTTTTCTTGTTTTTTGGGCTTAGGCTTGTTGAGCTTCTTGGATCTTTGAGTTTATGGTTTTATATCAGATTTGGAAAGCTTCTAGCTGTGATATCTTTAACAAATTTTTCTGTTCTCTTTTTTTCCTTCTCTTTGGGGACTCAAATTTTATATAGTCCAGTCTCAGCTCACAGATGCTCTTGTGTGCATGCGCTTTCTCCCTCTCTCCTTTCCTCCCTTCTCCTCCTTCCTCCCCTCTCTTTTTTACTCTCTCCTTCTCCTAATTAATTTTCTTAGTATTTTGTTTCGGATAGTTTCTGTTGCTTTGTCTTTTTGAAGGGTCACTATGTAAGCTACTGTTAAATCCCATCTAGTGTATTTTTCACTTCAGAAATCTTGAGAAGTTTGGGTTTGGTCTTTTTCCTATCTTCAGTGTCTCTGCTTAACTTTTTGTTATAGAAAACAAAACATTTTTATGGACTACTGTTTTAACATCTGCTAATTCTAGCATCCGTGTCAGTTCTGGTTGGTGTCAATTAACTGATTTTCCCCTTTTCACTAAGGGTTGTATTTTTCTGCCTTTTTCACATGACTGATAATCTGATTGGATGTCAGCTGTGAATTTTACTTTGTTAGCCACTGGATAGTTTTCCTAGTTATTTGGGAATAATTTGAATTTTGAGGGTATTTTAAGATTTGTTAGGTGGGACTGGTGCAGTATGCAATCTAGGGCTACTCTATAAATCTGTAACATGGATTTTTTAGTAATTCACCTTTATTATATGATTTTATCATGAATTATTTTGTCTTGTATTAAAATTTCAATGTGTAGTTATCTATATACTTGGTGAGAGCTTAGTGTGTACAGGCACTGTTCTCAGTGCATTTATGTATATTAAACTCATTAATCCTTATAATAATGCTATAAAGTAACTTTAATATGCTGATATATTGTATGTGAGAAAACCGAAGCACATGGAGGTTAAGTGACTTGCCTGAGGTTATTGAGCTTGTAAATAACACAGCTAGAATTCCAGCTCAAGCAGTATTGCTCTGTAGTTCGTCTTCTGAAATGGTAATATCTTAAATATTTAACGAACAATGCCGGATAAACACTATGAAAAGGAGGTCCATGAAATTTGTATTAGTTTTGTTCTTCCATCGAGATGAAATTTTATATTTCTAGTATATATCTAGTATAGTATATAGTATACTTACCTAGTATATGATGTATATTTTAATTGTGTATTCAGGAACGTTCAGCATATTGAATTACTTGCAAATTTATGTATGAGGTGGGAACTATCCAAGAGCAAAGAGCATTATGCATACATCTTTAAAGTCAGTTTTTTCCATCGAGAGACCATCAGGAACACATCTATAGCAGAACAAGTTTGATTATTACTCACTGCAGTAAGGGAAAACTTACACCGTGGGGAATGGTGGGGCTCTCAGTAAGTAGCTGTTAGAAAGGATTTAATGTAGGATTTGGGTTTATCTGGTGATTTGGGGGAGAGTTCTGAGAAGCAGGGGTTTCTTCAGGATTAGGTGATATGAGGAAGGAAGTGGGATAAGTCTATGATTCTGTGGGCATCTTAATCCTACGTATAGGACTAGAGGATTGAAGCCAGGCCAAAGCTGTGACTAGAAAAGGAACAGCAGTCACTCATACTAGCCAGAACACGGGGATGTTAGGTCATTTTTGTGGTTAGAAAAATTTCATAATTTTTCTAACACGATTACAGTGATTTTGTTTTTTGTCTTGATCCATTATGGCCACAGAGTGGTCTCATCTGATGTAGGTGTTCTTTGAAACTATTTACTACGTTCAGTAGAACCTCAAGATCTTGTTATGCGTGCCAGATTGGTTCCTAGCTATTAGATGCCTTTTCACTAATTTCACTTGTAAACTAGGTTCATTGCAGAAAAAAAGTGAGAAAACATACATAAGCCAATAGAAAAAAGTTTAAGTTGCTTAGAAACAGGAAAACAAGAAATGAAGATTTAAACTACCTCATATTTTTATTAAATATCTTTGCAGACATTTTTATGCTTATTTATAATAAAATGTTTTTATATATAAGAGATTATGTTATTCATATATATATTTTTTCTCTAGGAATGTATGGTGACTATCATTTCTTTGCAAGTGTGTGCCTATTGTATGAATAAGAGAATTATGTTATTATAATATATATTTTTTCTCTAGGAATGTATGGTGACTATCATTTCTTTGCAAGTGTGTGCCTATTGTATGATTGAGAAGTTAGGAACAGTGTCATTGGAGTTTTGATTATGTATTATCTTTATCAGTGTCTGATGTTCAGTAATCTCTATTCAGTAATCTTATCTATCTCTAGCTCTTTTAAGTGCGTATGTCTTTATATATATTTCTGTACACATAAATGTACGATATAGCATGAACAATTAAAGAAGTTTATTACTATAGGCAAGAGAGAGAATGCATTTGTTATAAACTAGATCAAGAAGACAATGTTGGTAACTGTATAGGTTCTACTGTTTAAGTATTAATCACCTACTATTTGCTATGAGGATACAGAAAACAAATTTGAGTCCTGGCATTTGAGGAGTATAGTGTTATTTATAAGCATTTCAGAATGTTTTTTTACTCTTTATTACAGTAATTGAAATATTTTATCTCTACATGACACCTGAAGAAGTTATAGAATACCATGAATTTATATGGCATTGTAATAAGAAACAACATGCTTTTCAACACAGATTTTAATAAAATGATGATTGCCATTTAATTTCAATGCATATGCTTCTTGTCAGTGTCTTCCTACATACAGTCTTTTTGAAATCTAGGTGGAGAGCAGTATTTTATGTCTCTGCTTAAAATATCTATAAAAATACAGATATTCTGAATAAGTCTCTTTACATTAGCTCATTCTATTGACCTGCTTTAGGTGAATAAAGATAATAGTCAAGCCTTATATATAATAAAAAACCATTATATAAAAACTTGTCAACCATATATTAACTTTAGTAAATACTTTATTTCAAAATTTCATCTGAAGATGCAAAGCTTTTTCAGGTCTCATTTATCATTACGACAGTCTTATTGAAATAGAAACATTTATCCTGTTTTTCAGGCATAAGTTATATGTGTATACATTTAAAAGTTATCCTCTGTCCTTTTTTCCTTTTCTTTCCAGTTGTCTTAGAAAAAAATGTCTTTAACTTTTACTTTCACTTTTACCACTTGTCCCTTTTTTCCAAAAAAGCTCTTAATTATAATTGGGTAAATAAAAGAGTTAGTTTTGGTTTCTAATTAATAAAGAGGAAAACGAAAGTTAGAATTTTTGAATAGATGTAGAGAACTAATATTGGTAGTATCTGTTTGCTTTTTAATGTGCCATTTGTGTTCAGAGCTAAAAAAAGGACTTGAAGTACTTGACTTAATGCTCTTGAAAAGTCCCAGAAGTTCCTTTTAGAAAATATTGTAGAAATCTCTACTTACTTATTTTTCTTTAATTAAGGTTGCCCTTCTTTTTTTTTAGCTTAGCATTCAAGTTTAAATTACAACCCGAATACTTAAAAACAATTTCTAATGCATGTTAAGTGACCTTTAAAATTAGCATTTAAAATTCATTTTTTTTAAGTTGGAGATTTATCATACTCTAAATTATGGTAGATATTTGTATGTTTAAACTCATGAACATTATTAAAAACCTTTTCTTATGTCATATACCATGCTAGGAAGAGGACAGTGTCCCTGTCTTCAGAGACTCTACACACACACACTCACACACACTCTAATTGCAGTATAAGGCAGACTGAGATGTAATAAGTTATTAAAAAAATGTATAGGAATATTGGAGATTGACTAACACTTCAGGATCGAGAAAGATAATGTTGTAGGAATGAAAGGCAAGACAGTAAAGAGTGGAATTCCTTTTCATTTAAATCTAGAATTAAAATTATAGACGTTAGGAAAAATTGTGTTTAAAATTCTTTTATGTTAAAAAGATATTTTCTTTTAATTAGTATTTAGTAATTTTCAAGTTATCTCATAATTCCTTAAAAATATGTAATTGCCTTTCCCCTATTTTTTTTTTTTCTTTTTGGACAGCTTTTCACAGATGGAATCACAAATAAACTTATTGGCTGTTACGTGGGTAATACAATGGAAGATGTAGTCCTGGTGCGAATTTATGGCAATAAGACTGAGTTGTTAGTCGATCGAGATGAGGAAGTGAAGAGTTTCCGAGTGTTACAGGCTCATGGCTGTGCACCACAACTCTACTGTACCTTCAATAATGGACTGTGCTATGAATTTATACAGGGAGAAGCGTTGGATCCAAAGCATGTCCGCAACCCTGCCATTTTCAGGTACATTTCTTTTTCTAAATGATTTATCCTTTTGAAAAATAAGAGTATTAAGTGTACTAAGGAAATATATTTTAAAACCGCCTTTTCTTTCTTTTAGCAACTATTTAATTAATTTAGAAACTTTCTTTAGTTAGGTTGTGTTTTGTTTTGTTTTTTTCCTAAAGAAAAACATTTTCCATCTGCCATCCATCCTAATTGTTGACTCTTTGCTAAAAGAAAGGGCTACAGGAGGTTTTGGATTAGTCTGCTGCAGAGGAACAAAGCTTCTCCTTAAATTTTTAAGGCAGCACTTAGTGTTATACCTTATCACTAAGTTTAGTTACTCAGATGCTCATATTTTCAAAGTTCTTATTAAGATTCTTTTTAAATCTGTTAATACTTCTCTGTACTCTTTAAATTTTTCATTATTTAATTATTTTTTCATAAGAATGTATTGAATTTGCTTGGTCATTTTTCTAAAACTGCTGTCTTTTAAAATTCTCTTAATTCTAGTATTTGAAATTCTTAAAAACTAGCAAATGTGCTTGAATGGAAAATAGCAAGTTCATTCATTGTTTAAACCAGAAGTTCTCAAATATTTTGGTCTCAAGACCCCTTTACAACTCTTAAAGGTTATTGAGAACCCAAAGACCTTTTGTTTATGAGTTATATTTATCAGTATTTATCACATTAGAAACATTTTTTAGAATACAGGGTTATCAAGTGAACATTCTGTTAGCTGTGTGTTGATATTCTCACTCCATGTAGCTTCTTATGTTACACTGTACACTCATGAGAATGAGAGTGAAAAATGTAAATAATATCTTATGAAAATAGTTTTAACTTCACAAAAACCTCCTTAAAGGGTCTTGGGTCTCCAGGGATCCCGGATCATATTTTAAGAATTGCTAAGTAAACACACTGATAAAAATGGGATTGTCCAATATCATTTATTTTAAACACAATTTCAAATAATATTTTGACAAAGAAATCTACTCAAACCCTAGTTTTTAACCATCAGATATAGTCTCTTTTCTTACATGAGTATATTGTCTAAAATGTATCAAGGGATCCTGATTAATAGATTATTTTTGTTCTTTGGTGTAAAATTTTTTGTGGTTTTGAGGCTTGTGTACATATATATGTAATTTATTTCTAAAACCTCAATCTTATTCACAGTGGTTGAAAAATATTTCTATAACAGGATTAAAAACATATAGATGCATAAATTAGGCCAAAGGAAAAGCTGGAGTTAAATTCAGATACAACAAATGTGTTCCTTAAGATTGTTAGAGAAGGGCCACGTGAGCTTTCTAGTAACCAAAGCAAGGAGGAAAATATTAGTTTTAGAGTCAGTGTCCAAAAGATTTAAGAAAAGAGTTGCTTAAGGGTAATACCATTTTTACTTGTGTAGCAGTCTTAAATACCGTTGTAAAATCCACAGATTAATAGATTTTACAATGACATTCCTGAAGTGTCTTTAATACACCAATTTAAACTTTCAGTTGCATTGCTGGCAGTGGGTAACTATCTTCCTGTTAGAAGTTCATATTTAGGACATTCTCACCTTGTTATACTCTGTAGTCACATGATGGAAACTGGACACCTGGAGTGTTGTTTTTTTTTTTTTTTCCTTTCAGTGATAGTGGAAAGTTTAGACTCAAAAGCCATGTGAAATTCTATATTAGGCAGTATAGCTTTGTCACCAAAAGTATTCTGTGAAGCCAGGTTGCTTCAGCTTTGTGAGCTGTATAAATTTGGGCATTGTACTTAAATGGTGTATGCCTCAATTTCCTCATCTAAAAAATGGGAATAATAATAGTACCTATCTCTGTGACTTTTGTAAGGATTAAAGTTGTCAGTATATGTAAAAAGGTTAAAACAATGCTTGGCATATGTAAGCACTATGTAGTGTTAGATTTTATAATTATATTTTTTTTCTCTTAAAACTTATCACACTGTGCAACTACTGCAGAGCTTCTGACAACCTGGTTGTTAAGTAAAGAAGTATTAAAATACTACTTAGGCAAATTGTCATTGATACTACTAATCTGTTGGCTTCGTTATGCTTTTAGAAACATACTTTTGGATTTTAAAATTTAAACATAGACTTTTTGCTCTTCAGTACTATTTAATATGGCATATTATATGGTGTTCTTTGAAGTATATAAAAGAACCATATGGATGGGGCATAGCAAATATTTATTCCCACAAACATACCCACTACTTCGTTTGTGACAGAGTACTAAATAGTCTTGGAACTCTTTCCTCCTGAACCTAGATGAGACCTCAGAATCTTCTGAACTAAACAGTTTTAGTTAATTATTGCCCATTAGTTCACCCTTGTTTTGGGTTTCATTTTAACTTCCTTGAAGACTATTTTATATTAAAAATTCAAGATTTTTTTTAACCAGTACTAAACAGTAGTAACATATATTCTGTTATTGGAGAAGTGATACATTAACGTGATGATGATGGTGACTGATACTGATTTAGCACTTAATATGCTCTAGATACTGTTCTAAATACTAATGTATATTAATAAACTCAACAATCCTAGGGGATAGCTAATATTATAATTCCATTTTAATAGATGAGAAAAGTGCAGAAATCCTAAGTATTTTGCCCAAGATCACATGGCTAGTAAAAGTACCTCCCAAGAGAATACTAATGATGAGTAACTTAACCTTTCTGCTTACTGAGAAAAGACCATAAAAAGTAAAGGAAAATAGCAAGGTCTTTGTTACACCACTTATGAAAAATAACTTCTGAAAATTCGTAGAATTGAAGTGAATAGACTCAAGAAAATGAATGTAGACTTCTATTTGTTGATTTCTCATAACTATAAAATTAATCATTAAGCTTACTACAGAATTTCTGTTTTAATAGGAAAGCTTTTCATAATTTATAGTTTTTTGATCAAGAACATTGAAATTTTGTCAAAGCTCAGTTTACTATTTGAAAGAATATCACAAACATGTTTGCATTAAATCAACTATATGACGTTCTGGAAATGGAAAAACTATGGAGACAGTGGAAAGGACAGTGGTTGCTAAGGGTTAGTGGAGAAGGGAAGGATAAATAGGATTTTTAGGGCAGTGAAAATATCTGTATGATACTTCAGTAGTGGATACCTGTCATAAATTTGTCCAAACTCTTAGAATGTAAAACACCAAGAGTGAACTGTAATGTAAACTATGGACTTTGGGTGATAATGTGTCATGGTGAGTTTATCAGTTGTAACAAATGTGCTACTTTGGTGTTAGATGGTGATAATAGAGGAGGCAATATATGTGTGGGCTCAGGGGATGTATGGAAAATCTCTAAACCTTCCCTGCATTTTTGCTGTGAACTAAAAAAGGTATTATTAAAAAATAGCTTCTTCAGTATTTTCATTTGGATCTACTACTTATTTAGAATATGTAAATGATACTAGTATAGGCATATACACATTCCATAAAAAAAGAATACATACTGTTAGAAACCAAACATCAGTACTTTTCAATTAAATTCTGATATTCTACTTGCAATAAGTGATATATTGAATTGACTCACAATTTAGAAAAAGAGAAGCAGAGTGGAAACTGAGAAAGGAAGTAAAGGAAGGTGACAGGAACTCTGTAATAATAGAATATGCTTAGTATGACTAGTAAACATGTGCTATTTAACTTATTTTGCTATTACATTTATTTTAGATTATGTCGTAATTCTCTAATGGCATATTTTAGAGTTAAGAAAAAAAATTATTGTAAACAACATAATAGAAAAAAGCTACTTGAGAGAAAGACATATTTGAATTAATAAAATAAGTGAATTATAAATTATTTAAAAAAGGAACATGGTTTTATTGTTTTCAAATATGTGCAGTTAAATACTTTTTAAAAACTCAAGTAAGCAATAAATGATTCTGGAGCCCAAGTTGAGGTTAGGGATGTAAATTTGGGATGATGTGCCTTTTAGCTTTTCTTTTTTTAAAAAATGAATTTTGTATATTTGATTTATTTAGTAAAGACTTATTGCCAATTTGGGTTTCGTTAGATGTCACATTTTGAGCCATTGTTATTAGGTTAGCCTAATATGCAGCCAACAGTCTGGTCTGATTAATCACAGCTTCAGTAAATATTGATTGAGCCTTAGATCAAAGTCCACAGTACTTGCGTTGACTCATTCGGACATACATATTTGCCTAAATTAAGATGATAATAAAGAGTATCTACTTTGAATATAAAAGGCATTGGAATATATGTTTATGTTTGGTCTAGTCTAAGGGAGGAAAAATAATTCAAACAATCTCTGCTCTCCTGGTAATTTACAATCTGTGGCAGATAATCTTGAAGAAAAAAATAAGTGAAATGGTATACACGGAAGAAGAGAAAAGCTTTTCAAAAAAAGTACTGATAGTTTACTGTGGTATATTTGGGAAATGAAGCAGTTTCACATTTGAACTGGGCTTTAAAGGATGAGACAGAGCACTGAGGAGGCTGAGAAAATGGGATAATAGGTTAACATGAGTTGGACTCAATGCTTAAGTTGTAATTCAGCTTATGGAAATTTATCATGATCTGTTCTATTTGGACTCTTCTGTAGCAACCAAATAAGTATTGCAGAGACTTTCAGACATTTTTTTTTTTTTTTTTTAATTCAAAGGTGTTTAGGAATTTTTTCATCAAATATTTCTTTAAAACTTGCCTCTCAGCTGGAGATCCTTGCTGAAGTTTAATTAAAAATGATCCAGCAATAGACATAATAGGATAAATGCAGTTTAAGATGAATTATTGCACATTTTCAAGATATATAACAAGAACACTGACTTCCAGTGTTGAGGATATTGTAGTGAACCTGGTACATTGTGGGTTGCAAGTAAAATTGGTAGTTGTTCTCATTTGGAAATCAATAAGGCAATATATAGTAACTTATAAAAGAAAGTTATACACTATGTTTTTGTCATGACAACTCTTATATTCAGATATAACTAAGGTGCACCAGCATTAATAAGTATTACACTCCTATTGGTATGATAG